TGTAAGAGCAGGGAGGTCAAGTGAGGGGATGGGGAACAGGGTGGTAGGAAGGAGGGGCTCAGGAAAGAAAAAAGAAATTCATGGATACCAAAACCAAAAGTTAACTATTGCTGACAACGTACACGGTAATATCTGTACCTTGACTAGTACGTGTATTTTCAGGCTGGGAAAAACCATTTTGTGCATTGCACAGTGTCTAAATATAAATGAATAAAATACTGAGAATGCCTCATGAAATAATCATACAGGAGGGCTCAAAAACCAGTTTGGTTTTTAGCTTTTTCTTTTTTTCCCATGCTCTTTGCTAAGCCGTTTTTAAGCTCTACACCCATCCTTCCACGTCTCTCAGCTGTGACTCTGAAAGCCATAGCTCTCCTGTCAGCTGAATCACTGTTAGGAGCTGCCAATGAGGGGCACTAGAAAGAGAGGAGAAGACTAGAGAAGAGAAGGGATTCTTTCTCTCCGGGCTATTTCCTACTTCTCTTTTGTTCCCGGGTTTTCTCAGTATCACGCAGCACTGCTTGACCCTAGCAGTGGCTGGTTGGTCCCGCTCACGCAATTTATTCCAGTTTTGCAGAGCCAACATCAATGCGCCTCCACACAGGCCCCAGCTGCAGCCGGCGGTGGCCTCTTCTCCAGAAAGATTAGGGCCCTGGCGCCACGCAGTGCTCTGGCACTGTGAGGCAGCAACACAGCTCAGCAACACACCCTCCTCTGAAGCTGGAGTGGGAGCTCTTTGAGCCCCGCATCCAAGCTTCTAAATTTTAATAACTCTAACTCTTCCTTTTTTCTCCCAACCCTATGGACGCTCTGTGAAAAACTTAGTGTTATCCTTTTTGGGTTTCTAATTCCTGGGTGACAGTTCTGTGTATTAAGTCTCTCCTGTTAAAACAATCACTGTGGTTTCTATTTCCTAACTGGACTCTGGGTAAACGCACTTCTTTACAGACAATGGCTGGCTTCGAGTGTCCATTGAGACTCCTCTCTTACTGCCAACGTGATGCTGTGAAAGTTGGCAGAATCGAAATGGAGTCATTTGTGTCAGCTTGTGTAAACCGATACTGAATGGAGCTGGAAAAGGGTATGAAGCAGGTGGCTCTTGTGCCATGTGTTCTTGGTAAGAACCACTGCACAAAGGCCACTGCAATCTTACCCAAAGATAATTCTCCAAGGTTATCGGCCCGAACGGCCTGCCAACCTTGGACTGACCTCACCCTTGGTAGTGGCCCTAGTAGTAAAGGTTATTGTCCCAAACTATGTATGTAATGCCTCCTCATTGTTCTTTTAAAATCTGTTATCTTCTCTATTTCCCTGAATATGGCAGTAGTTTACTACGGCAAGTATATTCCATATTTCAATTCTCATTTCTAGTAAATATCATTTTTCTTGCTCTGTTATGGACTTTGGTATTACCATTCATTTTATTACATGTGAAGATTATCATTGCACATTACTTGTGTATTTTATTGAAATGTTTTCAAAAATGGCTAAAGAAAAATCACCCTGGCTCTCTTTCTCTTCTCATAATTTCAAAGCAGCTAGTTCAACATAACTTGAAAGAATAGATAAAAGCATTTCCATGAGATTGTTTTCTCCAAAAATGTTTTTTTGGAAGTTACAGAGCCCCAGAATCCTCATGGTATGTTTTCAGAAATACTTTTGTTCCACTGGACTGACTAATCATGGGTTTTTTCGATCCAGGCCTGTTAAATGCTTATTAATGTCAAACAGTGGACATTACTAATTAAAGTAAAACTTTGCTCAGGTATTTATATACCTTTAACTCTTTGTTTTTTTTTTTTTTTTTTTTAATTTGGAGAGGTTTTGCTATAGGGTGCGTGCACTCGCCAGAAAGACAGAGAGACAGACAGACAGAAAGTAAGAAATCACCCCCCAGGGGGGATGGTCACACCGCAATCCCTTCTTCTCCATTCTCCTCTCGGGATATTGGGCACACACACACATACCCGGTGTGAGTTTAAGTCACCAGGTGCGGGACTCAATCCGCCGTCAACTGCATGGGAGTTCAGCGACGTAGCCATTACACCAACTGCTGGTCCTGTATGTCTTTAATTCTTGATGTAAATAAACATCTTTTTAAAAATATATACAAAAGAGAACAAAACAATGACTAGCTATTTATAAAGATTATGTTTTATTTCCATAGAAAATGCATGAATGCAACTGTCTCTTAGTCATCAGAAAGATGCAAGCCATTAAATCAGAAAGGACCTCAATATGGATTGCAAGCGCTGGCGTTCATCCTGATCCCTTCAGTGATTAGATGTTTGAGTCCAAATATATACTCTTTGTGGTTGTGCACTCTCAGCAACCAGTTTTGTTTTGTTTTTAAAGAATTATTTATTTGATTTTATTTATCTCTATCATTAATATATTTTTATATTTGTTGCAGAGCACGCATACTCACCAGAGAGAGAAAGTGAGAAAGCAAGCCACCAGGTCCAGGACTGGAACCACATGGGAGTCCAGCGCCTTAACCACCATGCCACCTGCTGGTCCCTCAGCAACCATACACAGATCTGGGCTTTGCCAGGAGGTACCGCGTGTAGTCACATGCCATCTATCTACATGTTGGTCAGCGATAGACTGCATCTCCAATGGTGGGTCCACAGGAGCATGCAGGCTATCCCATGGAGCCGAGCGTGAAATGAAGTCTACCATCGAGGTTTGTGTATGTGTGCTCTGTGATGTTCGCACATCGAGGAAAGCCTAGAGACGCACTTCAGAATACGTCCCTGTTGTTAGTGACTCATGTCTATAAAGACCTGTTTTGAGACTAGGACCACTTTCCACACCAAAGTTTGACTTTTAACACTAATGTCTCACTTAGACTTGGCAACCAAGAGAATATGGATAAGAAGTTACGCGTCCTTAAAATATTCCTAATTTGGCAATGTGGTTAGATGTTGTGCAGTGTGGGTTCTTTTTGTTATTTAATTTTGAAATTAAAGTACACAAAACAAAGATGATGCGGTTTCATAAAAAAATAAATAAATAACTGAAGAACCTTACATATTAGTGCCAGGACCCTGCTGTCCAGGTAAAACATCAAGAAGCGCTCCACTGGTGAGTGGCAACGGCTGTAGAGCAGCAGTGACAGAATCACTTTGCTCAGATGACTTTTCCACCAGAGCAGAGCTGCCAGGCCATCCCTGAGCTCACCGTCAGTGAGGAAGGGGGCGTCAGAGCAGCCCCGACACGGGACACAGGAAATGCTTTTGGCCTGAGCCAGTCGAAGGTAACGTCTGTTCCACGTAGAAATAACTGAGTGTCAGATCCTGAAAGAATACTTAATCAAAACTCTAACAGTGTTTCTCCTCTCCAACCAAGAATCGGTTTTTTGTTGTTGTTGTCCAGGTGAAACCAAGAAGTCATTTATTCAAGGACCTAAAAGCGCTCCACAGAATACTACCTCTCTAAAAATTATTCTTTGAAGCTTGCCATAAATTCTTTAAAATGTAGACACTGTAAGATGTTTATAATCATAGCTTCTTTTTGTTAACCACTGCCTTCTAGTAAAATCAAATCAGTTATGATTCTCTGTACCAGAACTGTGCTGAACCTGTAAATTAATTTGAGAAGAATCAACATTCCCATCCAAGAACAGAGTATTCCTCACAAATTTCAAATGAACTTAATTTTTACTTTACTTGTACCCTGAGAGAAAGTAAAGATCGATTTTGCCCTTCCTGAGTGCTGTCATTTCTATCTCAACCCCTACATAATCGACTTTATTCATGATTTCATCGCCGAATGTAGTCCTGAAGAATTTGGAAGAAGGCCTCAAATATTTGGTTTCTTTTTCCCTTTGATGCACGGTGCCAGTCCACGTGGCCTGTTCTGGCCTGCTAGTTCTGGGGGACAGTAGGTTATGACAATGTTTTCTGAGGTTGCCTTTGGTACAGTGTGCCTAGGTATACCTTGTAGATATTCTTTCCTGGGTTCTTACAAAAAAAAACGCCCTGCCTGGGTCTTTAGATTTTCTCTGGTCTCCCAGCTATTTCCCTTTCTGTTTGTTGCTTAACGTTGGGAGAGAAACCTGGGGCCTTGCAGACTATTTGTGCACTCTGCCTCACATGCACTTCCACCAAAGCATTAAATGTTTGGTTATATGTCTGGCTCCTGGGTGGCCAGACATATAAAGAAGGGAAAAGAAAGATCTCCAACACATTGTCCACTACGCACATTATCTTAACTGCAGCTTCGGGTGAATTAACAGCTGTGATGGTGACGATACAGCATAGCCTGTTTCCGATGAGCAGAAGGAAGGAGGCGATTTGTTTTAGAACACAGGTTGACTAAAGGCAAACCTAAGGGTAAAACATGTTTTCTGACAGTCTCACCAAAATGCTAAAATGCTGTCTCTCACCAGAAACTGTTCTTTTTTTATGTTTTTGTTTTGTTTTGCTTTGGTTTTATGTTTTCTTGTTTGTTTGTTTTTGCTGTAAGGTGCCTGTGCCCACCAGAGAGAGACAGAGAGAGGGAAAGTGAGAAATCATCCCCTAGAGGTAATGGCCATACTGCAATCCTTTCACCTCTTAGGTTTTTGCCATGCATGCACATGTGTCTGGAGCGATTTTCAAGCTGTTGGGTCCAGGACTTGAACCGTGATCAACAATGTGGGAATCCAGCTCCTTATCCACCATGCCACCTGCTGGCCTCTTAGAAACTATGCTTATAATTTAAATGAGAACATTTTCATTTCTTCAATAAATATATTTTGAGCCTTTTATTTTACATGCTCTTAGTGTAGGATTAGATGGCTAATGAGAAAAACCGCTAATATTTGAAAAAGAATAACTCTCTAAACTGAAAAAAATACTTAAAATCATAGGCAGAGGAGAAAGTCCAGTTGAATTCAGCTGGTCTAACTGTAACTTTTTTTTCAATAAAATCACTGCTGTGTTTCAGAATTTAGTGTACACATTTCACTCCTATCAGGCGTCACTCACCACTAGTGCTTACACCCCTCTCCATTTCTGGGTTCACCTCTCCTCTTGCTAGGGTCCATCCTTTAGTAGTTTTCTCAGCAAGCACCTGTAAGAGAGAGATTCTGTTAGTCTTGTCCGAACTTTCTGTTTAGAGTTGTGCAGGTGAGATCTTTCTCCTCAACATTTAAGGTTTTTATTCTATTCAAACATGTATATCATTAATAAAAGAAAAACATAATATTGTCAGCTTAATTGTTGCTACTTTGCAGGATATCTGTAGAACAATTCTTAGTTAGAGGTTCTCACTTTTCACATAGGGCTACACAATGTGTAGGTGTGTAGTTCTTGCCCTATACAAAGGAATGTAGGTAAGGAAGCAAGCGGGGCTGGAGACGAGTCCATGGGTCATTCCTCAAGGTCATAACATTAAAGGAGGCTCTGGGGACCAGCAGATGGCATAGTGGTTATGTTGCTGGACTCCCACATGGCCAACCATGGTTTGAGTCTGGGACCCTGGGGCTTGGAACTCATGCTGGGCTTGTGTGTGTGCGTGCCCAAAATCCTGACAGGAGAATGGAGAAGAAGGGATTGCCGCATGGCCATCCCCCATGGGGGTGATTTCTCACTTCCTGTCTCTGTGCCTCTCTGGTGAGTTGCACATGCCAGATCAAAGATCTCTCTTAAAAATGAAGGTTGGTCTCTGTGAAAGGGCTCTGTTTTCTGTTTCACATACAATGTCATAAAGGGTAGCTGGGGCAGTACAATGTACGTAGCACTGAATTTAATTTTATTTCTCATATTCACCACCTAGGTCACTGAGGAGCTATGTCATTTTTCAACTCAGAATAAACTCTCAATAGTTCTTGAAATCATTCCTCTTTCCATTGTTATATTTCTTTTTTCTTTAAAGAATTATTTATTGGTTTAATTTATTCATTCATTTAGTTTTTAATATGACCAGAAAGAGACAAGAAAGACACACATACACACACCCACACTCACACATACACACACACACAGAGAGAGAGAGAGAGTCAGAAAGCAAGCCACCAGGTCTGGGGTTCAAACTGTGGTCAGCCATGTGGGAGTGTCCAGCGCCTTAACCACCATGCCAGCTGCTGGTACCTCCATTGTTATATTCCTTATTATTGGAATATATATTAGAATATGTTGGAAGTTCTCTATCTATCTTCTGATTTAGATCTTTAATTTAAATTTTTTGAAGCTTTCAGTGTTTTGTTCTGGGTAATCCAATTTACTAAAAGAAATTATTTTATTTAACTTTCTTTTTTCATTTTAATTTTATCAGAGAGGGACCGAAGGAGAGAAAGAGAGAGAGAGAGGGAAAGTGAGAAAGCAAGCCACCAGGTCTGGGACTCAAACCGTGGTGGGCCATGAGGGAATCCAGCACGCTTAATCACCACACCACTTGCCAGCTGCCAGGTAATTCAACTTATTAATTATATCTTTAGCTATGCTCATCTGTGAATTTAAAAAATGGCTATACTTTTCATTGCCAGCATTTCTATTTAAAATGTTTGTTTGTTTTTAGGTTTTTGCCACAGGGCACGGATGCTCACCTGAGAAAGACAGACACAGAGAGAAGAAAAGTAAGACATTCCCCCCTGGGGAGACGGCCATGTTCCAATCCCTTCTCTTCCATTCCCCTCCTGGTTCCTTGGCCATGGACACACACATACTGGCATGATTCTTACGTTACCAGGTAAGCCATGTGGAACCCAGCGTACCAGCCACCATGCCACCTGCCAACACTTAAAATTTCTTCAAAGTATATTTACTTCTTCCATGAGAGAGGCGCCACGTCAGTTTTCATGCTGCGGTCCACCCCCAGGCTCAGCGAGCCTCGACCATGGGCACGTGCATGCCTGGCATGCAGAGAGGAAGGGGAATGTGAACACGAGGCGTCCACGTGGGTCCAGCTTTGCAAAGCGCTGCATTACTGCTTTGCGGCCGTCAGTGCCAGCGTTTCCAATCGGTTCTTTCTCGTCTCCCTTGTTAGTGAGTCTCATTCGTCTCTTTGTACTTCTTGATGCCTTTTCTTTTTCCTTAAATTTATGTTTAATCACTAGACATCTTTACAGTGTACGACATGGCTCTTCCCAGCATGTACAGTGCACATTGGTCAAGACGAAGACGTTACCATATACGTTATCATCAGCGATTTGTGTCAATTGAATGTACTGATTTCCCCCCTGCTCCCCTGCCTCCCCTATTACCCTGCTCTGTATTACCCCATCCTTCCTGTCTCTAGTATCCACACTTGCCCTCCCTATTATACCTTGAATCTTTCAGTTTCTGCTATAGAGCTCAGACGTTCAGATTATACTGAGTGGGGCCACACACAGTCTGTCCTTCATAGTCCGGCTTGCTACACTTATTTATCCACTTTGTATCAAACGTCAAAGGTCTCACTTGTTTTTATGACTGAGTAGTATTCCATAGAGTACATATGCCACATTTTTTTTTGGTCCACTCATCTATTTTTGGATATCCTGAGTTAATTCCACATATGCTATTGATGAGAGTGTAATTTAGTACAACCATTGTGAAAAATGATATGGAGTTTCCTCAGAAACCTACAAATAGAACTACCGTACCCAGTAATTCTACTTTAGGTATTTACCCAAAGGCTAGGAAAATCCTTAGTTAGAAAAATGTTTACACACCCTTTTCCTTTTTAAATGAATGTTATTTATTCCTATATCTTTTTAGATTTCAAAATCAAATATTTTAAAAAACTGTTCTGGAGCACTATTTAGTATTTGTAATTTTGGGGCAATAATTCACCTACTTGTTGAGTTTAACGGACATCTTTTATAAAGTTTGCCTTCATATTCTTCTTTTTTTTTTTTCACGATCCGTTATTTGGCTTTTAATTATCTTAAGTCTTATCATGGCATAATTTACAGTCTATGCTGATGGTCTAACTCCTCTACTTTAATCCTTCTAATGAATGGGCAAAAGCACCATTAACAATCACACACATACAGTAGTTCTTCAGTTTCTCTGTGGTTTGAAGAGTTGTCTAGCAATCCTGAAATACAACTTAGTTGGACTTAGATAATAGAACTCAAAGGTCAAATTTAACTTGCTACTAAGTCTTGTCACATTGACTTTCAAAAGTGTCTGACCTTACAAGTGTGTTAAAGTGTTACATATTCCTTTTTTGATAATATACACAATCAACACTAAAATGTCTTTCAGTAAGTAAAAGGCACTGTTTTGCGTACGGGAAACCTTAATTCAGATTGGCAGAGTTATGACCAAGTATATAAAGTAGACATCACTACCTTATCTTTGGCCCTTGCCTTTAGAAGATTAAAACAAAGGTGAGTGTGTTTGGTTTTGAGAAGTGAAGGGATTTCTTCGGCATTTACATATTCATCTAACCAACCATTTATTAGCGTAAATTAAAAAAAAAAACAATCTCCAACCTCCAGTAGGTTTTGATAGTATTCACCATCTTTATAGAAAGATGAGCATCACTAATGAATTACCAATTATATCTTTAGAAAGGGCAAATAGTGATAGCATTTATTGAACTGAAATTACTATCAAAATTTAAAAAAAAAATAACAATATTAATTTAACCACAAGCCAGTCTTACTTAAATCAGAATTGTCCAACAAAAATATCCTGTCAGCCATTCATGACCTGAGTTCTTGTGTAGGAGATCAATTAAAATATGGTACACATAAGAATGATGAGATGTTTCTGTTTTGTCATAAATAAGGCAATGGCCACCTATTACTCATTAGTAGCTTTTTATTTATTTTTATTTTTTATAATTCCAATCAATGATATTACCATACCTATTATCTTCAACAGATAATCTTCCCTTTTTTCCTTTTTTTTTTTTGATAGGTTTTCGCTATAGGGCGCGCGTGCATTCGCCAGAAAGACAGAGAGAGGCAGAGAAAGTGAGAAATCACCCCCCAGGGGGATGGCCACACCGCAATTCCTTCTCCTCCATTCTTCTCTCGGGATCTTGGGCACGCACGCACACGTGCCCGGCATGAGTTTAAGCCATTGGGTCCGGGACTCGAATCTCTGTCAACTACACAGGAGTCCAGCAACATAGCCATTACGCTAACTGCTGGTCCTGATTAGCAGCTTTTTTAAGATAAGCCTCTCCCCAGGGGATGCCTTTGTTCTTGCTGGCCTCTGTGTGATCCAGGGGCCTGACGTGCCTTCTGCCCACAGACCATGGGGATTTGGGCCAATCTTGTGCTTCCTCCCTTTTCCATGGTGAGGCACTGGGCATGCTTCTGAACAAAAATCTTCTTGCCTTTCTCGACATCACCTATTTTTTTTTTCTAGAATTACTCAAAGTTTTTTTTTTTAATTTTTATTTCAATTTCTTTTATACATTCAATCACGTACATCACTTAGCTTGTAAAGTGAATGTTCCAACATGAATACATTTCTCACCAGTCTAGTTGAGGATACTATATACCTTATCATCAACAAATAATAAACCATTTCTTCGTCCCATAAATACCTTGCCTCTATTTTTCTCCTTAGTATCTTTCCTCAGACTCTCCTCCTTCTCTCACCCTCTTCCCACACTGTACCTGGTATTTATAACCATTTTTTATGCTTCTATATCCTCTAGTCATTCAGTTTCAGCTACAGAGCGTGCATAGTTGGTATATATTAAGTGGAGAAATACAATGTCTTTCATAGCCTGGCTTGCTTCACTCAGCAGTAAATCTTCCATATTCATCCACTTTCTGTTAAAAGCCAGGTGTTGTTGGTTTTGGCTGAGTAGTATTCACACCTTTTCAATCCATTCTTCTGTTCGTAGACACTTGCATTGGTTCCATGTCTTAGCAATTGTGAATAATGCCACAATAAACACAGATATGCAGGCACTTTTCTGACTATGCATTCTTCTGTCCTTTGGGTAGATACCAAGGAATGGGATTAACATCCATTTTTAATTCTCTCTCTCATCACTTGGGGATACTAGGGTTCCCACTCAGAAGCCAAGTGTCCTGCTCTCGCTGCCATCTTAGTCTTGAGAAAGATTTTTTTTTTCTTCTCACCGTTTCCTCACTGCCATGGTGAGGTAGAATATAAATT